TTAAGCCAGCAGCTATAACATCTCTGCTGCAAGCCTGCATCGAGAACTGGAAGATTCGATGCATGTAATGTATGATACTTTAACATCCTTACTCTCATGCTTTTCTTTCTTGTAGTAATAAACCTTTAGATTTTAGATTCCAAAGGATTGGATCAGCATGACTTGTGGGTAAGATCCAGAGTGTAAATAAACCTGGGAACTGTGGTTTCTTGGAACCGGACAGAACTTGTTCGGGGTAGGTAAGGTTGGGTGCTAAAACCCCTTACCTGTGTATGAGGCCCGGGGCCTTCTGGGGCACGGATATTACTGGGGTGCCGGAGGGGTTTTGCTCATGAGGGTTCAGGCAGGCAGCTGAAGCGCTCTGTGGGACTGGTTTGTGGCCTGTTTGGAGAGGTCTCCAGTCTGAGGGCTGTAAGGAGCCCCGAATTTGAGCAATTCGCCCTGAGCGGACACCCTCAGCTGTGCCCAGACCCGGCCGGGTCCGTCACACGGGGGTCATACACAAATGAAAAAAACCAACCCTCGCTAATGTGGCCTCTGAGAAGGAGAAAGACACTCCCCATATTCCTCTTCCATACCAGAGCCTAAGGGGGGGGCAACCCCAGTAGATTTTCTGTGCTCCGGTCCTATGGTGGGGAGTGGGGGGTCTGGAGTGCCAGAATGAGCTTCCTAATATTTTGTGGGGGGGAAGGGGACACTCTGAACCTCAAGGTGCGCAGCCTGCCGGGGGTTGGGGCCACACATGCATCATGTGCCCAGGGGCAGAGCCGCGCATGTATCACACGCTCGCTGCTCGGGGCTCAGGAATGGCTAGAGCCAGCCCTGCATAAATGGTTACAGAAAGGTGAATAAAAATAGTTGTCTATTACAAAAATGAATAGACATGTTTCATTATAATACAAAGTTGTAAATAGCTTTTGACAATATTTCCAAGTTCTAACACACTTTGCAGATTATCTCTGAAGTGTTAAACTTCTGCCACTGCTTAAACATGGGGATGAACTGAGACAATGTCTCTAATAAATTGGTGGCAGTTAAAAGATTTTACACTGCTACCACCAAACATAGATCATAATGGTGATCACTAAGGAGCAGGACCCAATAAAGGATTCAGATATGAGTTTCCAACAAAGTTAGATATGAGTTTTCAACAGAGAAACAAGCAATCAGTCTCACCTGATTTTGGATAAGTAACCACAAATACATCACTGTCTCTGATTTCAAAATCCTCCAGTGAATCTATATATTCAGCTGTGGTAGTGTTTTGTGCAAAATAAGTTCCTTTATGTTTGAACATATATTTATTTGATTGCTCCATTGTTTGTTCAGTTTCACTCATGTCAAGAATCTGCAGAATAGGAAACATAATTTTATATAATTTTTACTTTGGTGTTATCTATCTTTCAGAACAAAAAATTGTATCCAATACAGGCAGTCCCTGGGTTACGTACAAAATAGGGACCGTAGGTTTGTTCTTAAGTTGAATTTGTATGTAAGTCGGAACTGGCGTCCAGATTCAGCCGCTGTTGAAACTGACCAGAGGCTGACTACAGGAAGCCCGAGGCAGAGCTGCTCTGCCCCGGGGCTT